AACTGTTATTGTAAATTGTATTGTTGTTTGTGTATTAAAATGTATTTGTGTTAAAAAAAAGAAAACTGTGTGTATCAATCTTGTTGGCAAATATCATAAACTGACTATATATCGGATTCTACTTAACTACTAAATCCAAAGTACAATTTAACTACTAAATTTAAATTTATCAGTTAACGCAATTTCAGGCTATCTGAAATTCTAATACGTAACATTTACCAAAATAGGTTTAATCTGTTTCAGAAATTCGCGAAAGCTACACAAAGGCTACTTGTGTATAGACGTCAACAATTTTGAGGTGGTAGACTAGAGGAAAGATAGCTAGTCAACAGCACCTACTGTAACTGTTGGACAACTCTTGTCTGATGAAATAGTGAAACTTCAACCTCACTCTTATAAGTGTGTGACCCGATGTGGCAACGAGTCGCGAATCGTAAATTATCAACTCACAGTATGATACGCTACATATTAGGCCACGCTCGACTATACGAAAACCGGTAAAATAATAAAACAGAATTTATCATAGGATTTCTTCAGAGAACAAATTTCTTAGAAACACATTTTTTTCTAGACATTTCTCATAATAAAACAGAGAAAACGATTAATGTTTGATATCATTTGCCGTTACAGGGATTGCAAAAAAAAATAATTATTTTCTTTATCTTATATCTTATATTGAGGAATTACTTGATAAGGATAAAGAAAATGCATGTATTTTTGAATAATATTGCCTAAAAATTATTTTGAATTTTTTTCTTCTAATTAAACATCTTGTTTTACTCTGACGGCATCTGTCTCGTGTAATCCTGATTGGGATTTAGGTCTGGTGTGAGACCTGGGAGGGTTAGAAGCAATGACTGACCTCTTCGTCTTTCCTTTACTTTTGGTTTATTTTATTTCACTGTTATTTTGCTGTCTGGACAATACACAAAGTTGTGTCCGAAAGTCCGGGTACACGCCTCTCATGGCCAATGTCCATGTATGTAATGAAAGTAGGATTAATTATGTAATTATCACTGTCACTTCATTTCTTTGTACGAAAGTCCTGTTCACTAGGATTACTTCCAAAATAGTTTTGTACATAAAATACCCCTTTCAACAGGCTATTGATGCGTTATATGCTAGCTGCAGATGTCCTGTGTGCTTATGGTAGATACCAGCGAACATGTGGGTCTATGACTCACACTTACAGGGCCGCTATAATGCAAACTTAATGCTTGTACTTCTATTTTGCACTTTTTTCATTTTGATGATCATTGTTGCTATAATGCAAATTTAACTTATTTAACTAAGTTACGAACTGTAATTAGTAGGCCTACTTATTTACGCGCTCAAATGTAAATCAATGCCAAATTTGGGCTTCGCTTTCGGGGAATCCCCGTAAAAGTGTTTTTGTAAAATACACGAGTTTCCTACGTAGTTGGGTGAAAAGTTTTACGTTTGTGCAAACTTCGGGGCCGAGATGATTCGTTTGGTACCATTTAGAAGTCGGTACGACCTGAAGTTTAGGAGGAGTTACATGACACACATACAATGAATCTTATTTCCCCAAAAGGGGGCTGAAAGCCAACCTAAGAGGTCATCTATTTTAATAACTCTCACCAATATACAGTAGTGTGTTGTCTGTCAGTCAGTCGGTATACACTAAAATGACGTCACATAAGGGGCGCTTAACGTTGCAATTTGTTCTGTCCTGACGTCAGTGAAACGTGCGCATGTCATGAATCATGAAAATAATTGCGCTCTCTTTAGATCATAACACAGTATAATAGTAAGAAATAAAAATATTTGTTACTCTTAATAGTGGTTTTATTTACTCTTGAAACAGATCACTTTCCGGGACCCTGCGGAAGTACATCTAGTTGTATAGATTAACTGGGGAGAAAATCATAGACGGAATTTTTTCATCATGCATGACATAGTGATCTATGGCAATTAGTAAATCATTCTTCTTTAGGTTTTTCTCAAACTATTTGTTCGAACTATCGAGGAATCTGTCGTAGCGTGACTGTATGTGTGCATCACGCGCTTCTCTGACGCCAACGTACAGCTACCTGAACTATATTCCTCCATGATCACGTGACAAGAGAAAGAAGCGATAGACAACAGAAGAGCTTTTCAGTGAAGGAGAACCTGTTCGCATGCGCGAATTAGATATGACTTTGGGACCGAGCAAGTAGGATAAGGAAAAGCTTTACTCGTTCACTATTAAATGTTATGTGACTCTTCTGCTGTAAGTATTTGTACGTTATGTTAGCTCAAGTGTCACCCGTACTCATCGTATGGTTGCCATGTGATGATTTGTCTTAAAGAACATTTTTATTCTAACACATTGTCTCTTATGGAACTTTCTTATTGATCTTCAAACTTACCAGAGAAATATAATGCCCGAGAGCATTGGTTATATATAAACTACTGTTAAACGGTTTAGAAAAACGAACATTATTTTAGGTTTCCGCTACGACGGTAAGCTAATGTGTAAAACAAAATCATTTATTTTTCGTCATCACATATAAACTGTAGTTACATAATGGATGTTACCGGAGATCGATTGCAGTCCTTGTCTCTGAATACATTTTCTCATCCTATAAAACGTAATGAAACACATAAAGATGATCAAACTTTTCTTCGTAATAGTATTGCAAGAAACACAATTGTCCGACGGTGTCGAGAATTGTATCAAGAGAAGGTCAAGTGGTCTGAAATGTTTCGTAGACAGTGGAGCACCTGTAGTGAAGGGATTGACGTGGATTCTTTACAGCTTTCTACTCCTTACCCCTCGGAAGTGTCTTTCCTGTCGGTCCCAACCAGTCTTGCCGTTAAACAGAACACAATGAAAGACACAGACTCCAATTCTACTGGAAAGTTGAATTCTAACATTGACGTAACTATGAATAATTTACGACAAGAAATTGTGAGTATATCTTTAACAATACAGAATAATGAAACCGAAGCAAAAGATTCAAAAACTTTCGAAATATCGCTCTTTTAAGCTATTCTTTTGAGCCATTCTTGGTGAAAAAGAAAAAACCAGCTATCTTTCGAAATGTCAGATTTTTGGGTCATTTTCAGGTTTCTTTTTATTGATATAAAGTTTTCCGTAATATAGCATAATGTTGTTAGTATTAAAGAATAAACACTTTATAAATGTGTTGTTGTGTCGTGTAATGGATTTTACTACAATGAAACCGTTTAATAGTTGAAGAAACTACCAAGAATGACGTCACAAGAAATATTTTTTTAAGGTTTATCTTTCAAACAATGGATCGCCAAAGATAATGTAGTTTTTCTGTGATAACAGGTTTAATAGATACTTTGTTTCTCTTTAGAATATGTTTTCACTTTCATGTAAATGAATGCTATTAACGTAAAATAGTTTAAATATAAGAAAGAATTTAACACTGAAGTTGAATAGAATAAGAATATTGATATTTTAAACGATTAAGAACGTACAAGTAAATCAGACAGTAATATTAATCTGAGCTTTAAGACACTAGACATATTTTCTTCAATCATTTCAGCACCTTTAAATATCCAGGCTAGATACCTATGCCCATTATGTAGCTTTGCGCTTCAACACCGAACAAACAAATCTATAACGTCGTAATCGAACAGAGTCAAGGATTTCAAATTACTAAAAAAATAATTTATATTTTTGTGGTGTTAATACTGTTGAAAAACAGCAGCATGCAAGCAGATATTAAGATTATTGTAAGAGCATGAGATGCAGCATTCAGGACCCTCAAAATCAATAGTTTTGGATTCATGTTAAAAAAATTGCAATATTGTAGGAATTATAAAATCAAGATAATCTGATCATTCAACGTGGGACAAACAAACCCAACTAAAGATGAGCATTTATAAAGGAAGATGTAACTAACCCTTTAAAACCATCCACTGCTGTGGCGTCATTGCTAAGTGTATAACGATGTTGTTTTAGCTAAATGCTATTCATATATTGTTGTATGAAAATAATGTCTGTCTATGAGTAAATAATCGTCAAAACGTTGTAACATTGTAAAATAATAACACTATAAGTTAAACACTTGAAAAAATATATATGTAAATTCATTATCTCTTTTTAATGATGGCTTGTCTGCGTAAGTTCACACCTTCGTTCGCTGAACAGATGACTCAAGTTTTTGTGAGATCTATAACTTCCAATAACTAGAATATCAGTGAACGTTATGAACGCCCTGTAACTACAGCATCCTATAGCTAGAAGATTAGTTATTGTTATGAAAGCATTGTGAACTACAGCATACAACCTGTGAACTACAGCGTCGAATTACCTTTCTTCTGCTTGGCGTGTATAAAGCAACATAGTGTTTTTTTCTTCCTTTAACTAGGTAACTCAATGTTTCTTTCTTCTCTTTAACTAAGTAACTCAATGTTTCTTTCTTTTCTTTAACTAGGTAACTCATTCTCAAACTAGGTAATTGCTTGTGGGAAGGTACCTCGTGTTTAACTTTAGTTTCCTATTTGCATAACTATTCCTTTGTTTCAGCTATAGCTACTCTTTTAAGCCACCCACTAATATGCATGACCTACTTCTGAATCTGTCATGAAAGACTTATTTGGTAGGGGTGAAACATTTCCCGTTAGTCGTGTTCGTTTTTTGGTCACGTGTATTTAAATTTAGATCAAAATAATGTTTTTACTGAACTACTTTTAACAAAATTATAGCTAAATATAATTTCCATTTCTTTTTTTTAAATAACCATTCGTTTGTTTGCGTTACTATTTTAATACATAATGATAAATCCATCCTGACATTAAAAAATTAAAAATTGTAAGCAACTGAATTAGACTGTGTTTACGGTCAAATGTATTGTTAGTATAACTTTTTCTTTTCTGTATTTTGGCAAGAATTAAGCAGTTCATATATAAATCTATACTATTTTATTATCTTATTTCGAAACATTTTATGAAATGTTTAAAATCATAAACCAAACAGTTTTTCTACTCGTAATAATACTTTATATTCCATAAAATATTCTACCTTTCCCAATTTACAACAAAATATAGTAATCTGTGACTTTTATTATACTGACTTTATTTCAAATATGTATTGAAACACATTACAAAATGTTTACAAAATAAAAAATAGCATATATTTATTCACAGTTTCATTCTTTATGCTTTCTTTAACATCCTCTAAATATAATTATTTTCATACTTTTTTGCACAATTATTTCTATCAAGGCTTTCTCTGATTTAGTTAGTTAACTAATCACTAAATCTGTAATCCTGGCAACAGAATATTTCTGGATTAGGTCTTTCACGTCCAATAGCCCTAGACGATAATGTTTAGTCTCTAGACAGTATTACACACCTGTGAAAGCTTCTAATTTAAGGTGTATAGGTGTTAAAAGTGCGTACATTAACTTTCACATAATTTCAGATTCGGTGTATCTTTTGGGTTGTATTTGTTTTCCAAAGCTTAATTTTGTAAATAATGTTGGCATTTAGATACGTCATATATTTAAAGCTTTTTTTTCTGTCTGGAATTAACATTTCTAGTTTCAGGTTATGAGAGAGGTGGCCAAGGAAAAACTATTTCCAGGTGAAATATCCGAAGATTAATTCTTTCTTTAGTGCGTAACATCTAAGACACGATGTTGACCCAGGTCTGTCGTGTAGGTGACCTCTTGTCAGTTTAAAGGCGAATTATATAATGTTCAATCTAATTTCATCCAAAACCTCTGTTTTATGGGAAGTGTATTATTCTTCTGGCTATTGTAAGATATTACACTATTCTGTTATGTATTAGAATAACAAATCCATCACAATTCATAAACCCAGTTTGGCGAAAATAACGTTATAGTGTAAGATGAATTATCAAAATAATCGTCTATAATCTGACGAACCAAGAAGGAGTAAACAACCGTAATGATAAATTCATCTAGACATTATTCGGAATGAAACTGAGTTGTATTTAAGTAGAACTACATGTGTTTATACAAACACATTGACCATTGCAGTGTATACGACTCTCAACAGATATTACGCTTTTGATTTTCTTGAAGATTCAAAAGTATTGTAGACGACAAAATATCGCAGACTTCATGTAATTATTACGTATTATGTAAATTTTGTGTGCTTGAATAAGAATTAAAAACTTTTCGTGTCAAGTGGTTTTATCGCTTCCTGTATTTTATTCATTGTGTGTTAGAAACAGTAATATATTTAAATATTTAAGGACTTTTTATAAGGACCTCAGTTTTATATCAAATTACTTATGTTTATCTTCATTATGATACTACTTTTATATGATATATTGAATATAATACTATTTGCTATTTGTAATTTATATTTCATGTTCAGAAAGCTTCGTCGTTAGGAATCTGTTGTTTATGTGAGTATACATTTATTTACGGATGAAATAGCCTCATGAAGAGCAATGGTGCCAGTCTGATGACCTGATGCAATTTAGTCAATGTAATATTTAAGAAATTTGTCATTTAAATTAAGGTCATACTGTTCTCTTCTTTATTATTGTTGAAAAGCTGCAACAAGAAAATCTGATTGTACTAAAATGAAATCACAAACACTATCATATAACATACACACAGACTTTATTGCAAGCTTGAAATTCAACCTAACTTTACGTAAGACACTATAGTTTTCATATTTGCTAATGGCGTTATACCCAGACCTTTTAAATGTAATCTATATGCTTAAATAGACATGCGTATACATTGATGTTAGGTTTTATATAATTAGCATTAATAGTTTCACAAACGTATAGATCTGGGACAGGTGTTCAACTGTGAATTTTTAATTTTTGTTATGTTCATTTCAAATATGAAAGCAAAACTTACTTCTTTTACAATATACTCAAGCATGGGAGCTCTAATTACAACAGCCGTAATCTAAGCCTTGTTGTAATTTTCCCCGATTTCTCCTTAGAGTACATTTCAGATACACCTTTTGACATTTAACAACAGTCAACACTTCTTGAAGGTGAAAATTGTGTCAAAGTCATTATTTATTTTATCTCATATTTCACCACAATATGTTCTTACAGAACCAGTTTCGACTACATACAATTATTGAGAGTAAATAAAACACACAAAAATCGTGTCAAACACATTTCAGTTTTACTATGACTAGTTGAAGTCTGTAATTGACACACTTTTTCGTAGGTAGGGACACTCCTTTACCAGCATCATCATCATTCTTAGTATATGGTGGTGCATTGCAAGAGATTAAAATCAAATTGGTCCAGTTTGAAGTCTGTAATTGACACACTTTTTCGTAGGTAGGGACACTCCTTTACCAGCAGCATCATCATTCTTAGTATATGGTGGTGCATTGCAAGAGGTTAAAATCAAATTGGTCCAGTTTGAAGTCTGTAATTGGCACACTTTTTCCATAAGTACGGACACATCCTTAATAACATCATTAGCATCATGGCTGTTATATGGATGGTGGTTCATTGCAAGTGATTTAAGTCAAACATGGTCTATTCTGTAAGTCATTAGAAATTTATTTTATTTAGGTTTCCAGCACCTGAACGCTTAAACTTGATCTACACGGCAAGTGATTAATAATTAAGTTGGATTTACCACAGAACTATACATACAAGCTATTATGCATATGGTTATAACTCAAACATGATGTACCTCATATATTATTAAACTTTAAATTGATCTAAATTTTCAAAAGATAAAAAATAAATTTTATTAACCATTTAAAATGATTAAAGTTTGGTTCACCCTTTGTAGACAGTATTACGGATTAGAATTTCAAATGGTCTGAAATTGAGTTAAATGATAAATTCAAATTTAGTAGTTAGATTGTACTTTGGATTTAATAGTTAAGTGAAAGCCGATATATAGTCAGTTCATGATATTTGCCAACAAGATTGATATACACAAATACGTTTTAATATACACACAACAATACAAT